TTGCTTTTCTTTCTCCCGTTGCCACCGCCTCTCTCTCTCTTTGAGCAAAGACTGTGTTTACTGAGCATCCCTTACGTACCAGACACTGTGACCGTGGGGCGAAGGAGCCAGCAGAGTCACTGCCGTCATGGAGCTAGTTCTCACGTGGGGGAGACAGGCCAGAAATAGATGAGTAGAGGTGTTTGTAGGCAGATGGTACATAATACAGGCTGTGAACAAAGTTAAAGCAGGAAAAGGGGATAGGGAGGGATGGGTACCTAAAATGGTAGGGATGGGTACCTCAAATAATCTAAAATGATTATTTGATAATAAAATTATTATTTGATTGGTCAGGCAGGGCCTCTCTGAAGAGGTGAAGGTTGAGAAGAGATCTGAGTGAAGTGAAGGAAACAAGTCACGAACATCCAGGGAAAGAATATTCTGGGCAAAAGAAACAGCAAGTGCACAGCTTTGAAATGGGGAGGCCCTTGACCTGCTTCAGGAACAGCAAGGAGGCCAGGGTGGCTGGAGAGCAGTGAACGTTGAAGAGAATGGTATGAAATGAGGTAGGAGACGTAGCCAAGGGCCACATCATGTGGGACTTTGTAGCACTTAGGATTTTGTACTGAGAGGGTGGGGCGCTGTTGGGCGCTGAGAGTAGGGAAGAAACATGATGAACTAGATCATGTTTTAAAAGGACCCCCCCTATTCTATGGAGAATAGACTGGAGGCAAGAGCCGAAGGGAGGTCAAGAAGGCGGCTGTTAGAATGATCCAGGCGAGAGACAGTGATGGCTCAGTGCAGGGTGGTAGTGAGGAGAGAGAGGTTGCGTCACAGGTGTGTCACTTTTTAGGAGCAGGGGCATGGGCTGTTCATCCACAGGGCTCGATTCTTAGTTTAGTTTTGTTAAGTGAATAAAACCAAACAAGAGCAGCATTTTTGTCACTTTTCCATATACTATGCTGCCATTGAAAGGTTTCACAGGTGGTCTCCACTGTAATCTTCTTTAAAAAGGTTTTTTTCATTAATTTTTAGAGAGAGGGGGAAGGAGGGAGAGAGGGACAGAGACACCAAAGTGAGAGAGAAACATCCATTGGTTGCCTCCAGCACGTCCCCCAACCTGAGACCGGGCCTGCAACCCAGGCATGTGCCCCGACTGGGAATCAAATGGACGGACTTTTGGGTTGCAGGATGGCGCTTAATCCGCTGAGCCACACCGGTCAGGACTCCACTGTAATGGTAACATCACTGGCCAGGGACCACTTGAGAGTTTCCTCACCTGAGCCAGCCTGCTTCCATTGTCAAAGGTTCAGTCCAAGACTGCTAAGATTTAGCCAGAAAGGCTAAAATTACCCGAGAGAAGCTAACGACTTAGATAACCAAATTCTAAAGGACTCGAGGCATTATATAAGTGAAGATAAAACTCCCACATCACCAGCTCAAGTTATAAAGTAGTAAGTCCTTATATTTTAATAGCATCTTATGTTTTATAGTATGTGTTCATACGAGGTCTGCCTGGAAAAATTCAGGCCATTGTTAATATAATGAAAACTGTTTGTGTGACATCAGTGTAACCTGGCAGCCAAGGAGAGTGGACTGGAATGTGCATGTGTGAACAGTGACGACTTCACTGCACTAGTCAGTGGGGGGTGGTAGACACCACTGAGTGAGCATGTGTACTGTGTGGCCATCGCATGCAGAATGACTGAGCAAGTAGAGCAACAGATCTGTGCCATATTTTGTGTTTGGCTTGAACATTCCCTGTGCAAACTATTTGGGTGATTCAGAAGGACACAGCTATGAGCAACTGGTGATCGGCAGCTTCATCATGACAATAAGCCCACTCATGCATCACGTCTCTTGCAGAGCTTTTTGGTGAAACATCAAATCACCCAGGTGACCCAGCCCCCCTACAGCCCAGATTTGGTGCCCTGTGACTTCTGGCTTTTCCCAAAACTAAAATCACCTTTGGAAAGGAAGGGATTTCAGAACTTTGATGAGATTCAGGAAAATATGATGGGGCATCTGATGGTGATTGAGAGAACTATGTGAGGTCCCGAGGTGCCTACTTTGAAGGGAACTGAGGTGTCATTCTTATGTACAGTGTTTCTTGTGTCTTCAATAAATGTCTCTTTTTTCATAGTACATGGCTGGATAGTTTCTGGACAGACCTTGCATATCCACAGCCGCTCTGTGAAGAAGTTATTAATTAATACTTTCCCCATGTTTTTATACTGAGACTCAGAGAAGCTAAGTAATTTGTTTATAATAACAGCCAGCAAGTGGCACATCCCCTGACTGGAAACTCCATTCCGGACCCTTTACTCCTTCTACCAGGTTCATAAATTTGTTTACTGAACAGCTAGCTATTGCATGTACCCAGCACACGATAGCGAACAGGAATGCTCACATAAACCCCAGTGCTGACCTTGTAAGAGCTGATAGTGTAATGGAGGAATCGGGTAACAAAACCAAAGATTGTAATAAAGTTCAGTCAGTATTGTGTTGTAATAGAATTAAGCACTGGATGTACTTTGGGTTTATGTATACAATTACTAAAATAAACAGCAAAATAAATATTTCCCCCAGTGTTCTAGCAGCTGCCTGAGTGTGTATTTCATGTTTTTTAAAATTAATTGTGAGAGAGAGACAGAGATCGATTTTGTTGTTCCACTTATTTTATCCATTCATTGGCTGATTCTTGTATGTGCCCTGACCAGGGATCGAACCCACAACCTTGGCATATCAGGACAGTGCTCTAACCAACTGAGCTGTATGGCGAGGGCTATCCATGTTTTTCTATTTGGGGAAATGGACTTGAATTATTTAAAATTGCATGACAATGTAGTAAGTTTATTTATTGTTTATTATTTATAAACATTAAAATGTGTACAATGTATTCCGTAATCTGTAAGAGTCTTACATAGCTTAAGAGTCCCAGGTTTCTAGATGTTATTTTCTAAGCTCAAAATGGTTGCACGTATTTTAGGATAATTTAGGTCTTAATTTTGCCTTTGCAGTGGGACTAGGCTTTGATAATGTTGTATGGGCAGAGGTATGTGTATGGAAAGGTGAGATCTGGTCCCAAGGAATGCCGAAACTTTAGAATTAGCCAGTTTAGTCAGCCCCTTACAGTGGAATATAGGCTATGATTAAAATAACTAGACCACCACACTGAGAGCAAGAAAGAGAGGAAATACTGTAGACCTCTGGATGAAAAGATGAAGTATTCTTTCTTTTGTGGACTTCTCTTGCTTAAGTAACTTATTTCTTCTTTTTGAAATATGTGTTTGAACAAGTGAGAAAGTGTACCTGTCAAAAGGTTAACCAGCTGAGAACCATTGTCAGCATTAATTTTTCCTTTAATAAATGACTCTGTGAAGCTATTTAGCAGTCTGTAATCTAGACACCAAGCAGTTGACCTGTGATGGGTAGTGCCGAGTTTGTCTGTAAGCTTTGATTTACATTGTCCACCTAATTTCCCTGGGTCAGATCAACAGGATTAGAAGTAAGGGCGGTTCTGTGGTTTGGACAAGAATGGCTTTAGAAATTGAGAAAACTAATTGTGAAACATTAATGATCTACCATCTTGCGGAAGTAAATTAGAAACTAAGAAAATAATAGTCACTTAAAAGTCAGTGTTATCAGAATATTCAAATGACACAGATTGGCTAATTAAAAGCATTGGTTATAATTGGGGTTTTAGACATAATGAATTCCAAAATGCCTCTGAAAATATTAGGAAGTAATGTAATTTTACCATATGTGTGAGCACCCCAGGCTTGCATAGCGTGTGGATACTCCCTCTTCCAAAATTGTCTGGCTAACATAACGCTGACTTCTCTTGCTTTTAATAATTAGTTAAAAATAGCATGACCTGTAAAATGGAAAGGCTACTTGATTTGGCAATTGCAAAATATTCACAATTTGAATGAAATAGGGCTCTCCTCACTTGAGCTTTTTACACATAAAAACTGTGTATTTCATTGAATAAATTAAATTCAAAAGTAGGCCATTACTTGCAGCTGTCCGTTCTAATGGCCAGATTTGATTCATAGCGCGGACAATTAGGGTTTCTTTATTCCTGACTGTCCTGTAAAATAAGTTCTACAGGCAGAAATTGTCCTAGTATAGCTCTTCTGAATACTTTCCTGGTTTTGAACAAGAAAACCTAACTTGACAATGATGAGTTAAGATTTCTGTAATACTAAAAATAGTAGTAATAGTCCTGGTTTTATTTTACAGTTAATAAAATGTAGATGAAGGAAGCCCTACACGCCCCTTCCAGGATGAGTCTAGGCCGTGTTGTCTGTGCTAAAGTAGATGCCGTTTTTCTCCAATAGTTTCAATTAACGAACACGCGTCAGACCCCTGTGAAACTATGCTAAGGAACGGCCAAGCCAGTGTAAAAGTTTATTTCTTCTTCCTGTTCACATCACTAGGAGGGAGTTGCTCAAAAGGTGGATAGCAGGAGGGAAAAGAAAAATCGGATAATATTGGAAAGTGCACATCAGAGTAATCAGCTTAAATAAGCAACCGTTTTCTTACTGAAGTGCCTACTTGTTTTGGGAGAAAGGTCTCTTCTGTAGCTCGTGTGTGGGGAGCCAGGGAGTGAGCCAGAGACCCCAAATTCACACTTGGGCAGTAAGCACCTCCAGCTGCCCTCATGCTGATCAGGACACAGGTGACCTTTTTCAGATACTTTCTGTTACTGATTACATTTCTTAGGGGAACAAGAGATGCATGGGAATGACAAAATCCACATTTCAAATTCTCATTCCTGTTGTTCCATGATTGTGCCAAACTATTTAAGAGAAGTTGAGAGTTTGAGTAAGTCTGTAAGTCCCTTTGGTTTATGATGAACCTACGTAATGTTGTCCTTGATTATTAAAATATTCCAGGAGGAGTTTAGAGTATCCTGCACATGCCTGACAAATACAATTTGGAAGCAAGATGTTTTCATTCGGTTTGGGGATTGCGTCTAATTTAATCTTACTCTCCCTTTCCCCCAAACCATTCAGGTGTGGGAGCTGCTCGGTCTGGGAACCTCACGTTCATGGTGGGAGGAGTCGAAGAGGAATTCGCGGCGGCCCAGGAGCTGCTGGGCTGCATGGGCGCCAACGTGGTGTACTGCGGCGCTGTGGGGACCGGGCAGGTACCGCTTCCCTGTTGGTAGGCCTGCCCTGCGGTGTGAAATCGCCGGTGCTCACGTCTCACCCCTGACCGTGTTCTCACTCCTCCTTCCCCTGTTTAATCTGTGCATCCTTTGTTTGCTCAAATTTTCTTCAGCTAATTTGGATTCAATTAATTTGCCTTCATTCCTGTTGGAATTAAGCAGACTTCCATCAGTTAACTTATTAAGAAAGATACCAAGTTCCATCGTTCAGATTTTGACTTTTACCAGCCCAGTGACCACTGAGATCATCCTTAAAACTGCTTCTGTTTGTACTGCTCGTAGGGTCTGAGTTGCTATTATCTTCCTTCTGATTTTCTAATTACTCCCGATAGCTTTATTTGCAGTACGGTCAGGTAGATATAACCTCTGCGCTTTAATCTTTTTCTTGAAAACCAAAAAGCTTTCACTTAGGAATGTGTTACATCAACTTTCTGGTCCGATAGAGGCGAATGAAAGTTCGGAACTCTGAAATCCAGCTGGTTGTCCCTCTGTCACCCAGGAGACACACACACTCCTTCCTCTTAATGCTTTGTCCTGGCCGCGGGCACCCACTTGATCCTGACTCAAGACCGTGGTGTGGTCTTTGATGTGTCTGTTGTTTCCGTTCCTGTGTCCAGTCAGGCTTTCAGTTCCATGGGTTCTTGCTTCAGCAGCTCTCATTGTGAACTGCCTCGTCCATTCCAGATAGACGTTATACCTGATCCAGTCTTCTCCCACTGCCTCCCACCTCGCGTGCTGCGCAGAGGCCTGATGGGTCTCCGATCCCAGGCCACCACTCTGCCCAGCTCCGTCGAAACCAACTCCATCAGGATGCTTGTATCGCCATAGTGCGTCCCCACTCGGAGACTCGGAACAGATCCCTATTTCCCGTCACGTCAGATTTTAACTGTCCGCCTTCCCTAGCTTGCACAGCTCTTGCCCCAGTCCTCACTGTCAAACTTCTTGCCATTCCTTAAAACATGTGCGCATGAGTCCTTTTTCTTCTTGTGCTCAGGAACATCCCATGCTCTTACCCCCCACTTTCTCCTCCTTTCTCTCTCTTGCCCAGTTAAATCCTGCCTGCTCTTGAGAAAGGGTTTCAGGTTGCCCTTCCTCCCTGCTCCTTCCCTCAGGGACCTTGTTTCTTTGAACTGCTACTGTTTCTGTCCCGTAGCCTCTACCATTACAAGTGCACACTTAAATGTTTTTGTTTGTTCATGGCCTTCTCCTTCAGTGTGTTATTCCTGTTTCACCAATTAGAATATAAGCCCCACCCCTTAAAGAGAGGTCACCCCGCGTAGACCAGCATTCCCCGTCAGGCTGAGCCCACAGGAAGAGCTCTGTGGGCTCTCACCCAGTGGAGGAGATACCCCAGCCCCCGCCTTGGGACGGCGTGTAAGGCTCCAAGGGAAGCATACGGTGCACTGTTCCCTTCCCCATTGCAGAGAATCAGCTGCTGAATGCACTTACTTTGAGAAAAAAGCACGTGGAACTGGGTGAAGAAAAACTTCCTGTGAGTTATAACTCAAAAATAAAAATATTTAATATGCACTCAATTTATTTTCAGGCTGCAAAGATCTGCAACAACATGCTGTTAGCTATCACTATGATTGGAACTGCCGAAGCCATGAATCTTGGAATCAGGTTAGTTGAACAGCACGTTTTCCCGTACTCGCAATTTTTTTTCTCTTTTTCTTTCTCCCGTGCTCATCAAATGAACTTTTCCATTTGATGTTTTCGGTGTTGGAAAAAATGTTTATGAGAGATAAATGAGTGGGTCCAGGAACATTTGAAAGCACTTCATTATTGAACTTTAATAGACGTCGCTTATTGGATGACCCACGGGACCCTGGAGAGCGAGAATACCCTTTGCCATGGCCACCACATGTATTGCACTGTACATTCGAAGTTTCATTATCCTTTTTATGTGGAAGCTCCATTCCTTCTATGATGCTGAGATGCAAGAAACACTTTGACTATACAATTTAAACATGCTTTGACAGTGTAGGACAGATTTGTATAAAACGTGGCTTTAACGTACAGTGAATTCAAGTGTTACATTACCACATTACTTGTTTTATGTGTCTATTTTAAATACAGTCCCCAAACCTACACTAAAAGGGCTCTTGGCTGCTTATTGCTTAAACTGGATGGCGCAACTCCTGTGCGTACCTGTGGCTTTGTCACTTGACATTGAAGCTGTATCTTTCCACGAAAATAAAGGGGCGTTCACACTTTGCCTAAAGCGATTCAGGAGCCCTGTTTGCCCCACGACGATGTTCATCCCTTGGCATGCGGAAGGTTAATGTCTGAATTTTACTCTGTAATCTGGGGGGTCAGGAATGCTACATATGATTAATTACCTAATTAATTTTGTAATGTTTGGATTTCATGAATATAATATATACATATTTCTTACTTTAAAAAATGCTTACAGAGCAAGATGTTTTATTCACATGTTTGTTTCACACTGTAAACTACGCACCAAATAGATCACAGATCACACTGGTGTTTCATATCACAGCTTTTGATAGAAGCCATAAAAAGAACCAAGGTACTCGAGATATTTTTAAAACACAGTAATGGATTCACATTTCCTCTTAATTACCATATCAAGATACTATTGTTTTATTGAATTGGCCTAGTCTCAGATGTTAAACTATCTTGACCTATTAAGTTGTCATGTTGTAATTGAGATAAAAGAGGAATTTGCTTTGCATCAGCGCTAATTGGTTTATCAATATCCTGTACCATTTACATTTTAAAATTAAGTGTCTCTAAGATGGTAGGCTTAGCATATCTGTACAAAGCTTTAATAAAACTGGTAGTGTATATAGGAAGCTATTCATTGTTCTCTGTTGTAGCCAATTTTAGGCTATGGGTCACTTATTATAATTGAAAAACTGGTTACTAATGACTTGTTTACATGTCCATCCTGTAGACTAATTTCATGGAGGAAGAAAATGTAAATTTCTGAAACCAGAATTGCATACAAAATTAATTGGTGTTGACAGTAGGATTAGAGCATTAATATACTTGTGCATCTTTAGAATTTTATCTTTATTATTCTGGAGATAAATGAAAACATCGCGGAAGCATAAAAGCCTGGACAGACCCAGGTGGTGTCGCACTGCAGCTTCCCTCTTCGTCTGTGGCTGAGTGTTCACATCCTGCCGCTTCCCCGGGGCGTCCCCGCATCGGGGTGCGGGGTCGGGATTGGGGACACCGTGAGGTGTCCTCGGGCGTTCCGCAGAGAATTTCCCAGCAGAACCCTTAGGAGGTGATCGTTTGCCCTTTGAAAATGAAGTTTCTGTATGGTAAATGCTTGTGGAAGTCTAACTCCAGATACCGGCTAATAAAGAACAGGAGGAAATCGGTTGAATCAAGTGAATTGGATGAAATGTGTACATTAGGTACTTGAGTGGTTTATCAAAGAAAACAGGAAAAGTGATAAAATTCCAGATAGAAAGGTTAAAAGCAGAAGCAATAAATAGGTTTTATCTTGTCATTGGCCTTGATCCACTGTGCTAAAAACAATATTTAGAAATATGAAACTTCCAAATGCTCGATTTTTCTCAAAACTCTATCTGCATTACTGCTCCTGATGCATTTTTGTTTGAACACAAAGCAGGATCTCACTAGTTTTACTTAATTGTTACAACGACCTCTGTGTTTCTGGTGCTTCAGACTGTATTAATTATTTTCATAACACTAGGACTTTATCAGTGAATCTTACAAAGATTCTCAGTGGCTGGAAAGTTCTAAAGACGATTGCTTCTGCCGTTGTCCTTGATCCATGGTTTGCAGACACGGCTGAAAACGACAGGATTGCTCTCTGACAGAGTAGGGAGAGCAGCCACGACTGACTGGCAGAGCTCTGCAAGGTGGAAGAGAAAATGGGCGTCAGCAAACGTGAATTCCCAAGTAGTGAATTCCCACAAAGTGGGGCAGCATCAAAGTGCTCCAGCCGCATTTATATTCTGTCCACTCCGAAGTGAGAATTTTTTTGGAGCGTTAATGTCAGCATTCACATGTTGAGTCACCTGTTCCTATGGAGTGATCATTTCTGATTAGTTTCATTCTCCTAAGTCTGTTTTTCCAGAACACTGATGTTTCCCTTTTCTTTTTTTAAATAGAAGAATAAACTCTTACAGTGTAAAACTCTTACTGACTCTATGATGTTTTACAGTGAGTCTTTATGGATGTTAGGGAAAGTTTAAAATGCCATAAAAAAGCAAACCATAAAAAATATTGGTATACAACATATTTCAGGATTCTTTTTTACGAGACCTTTCTGCCTTCTAATTGGGCTCTCGCGGGGACTCAGCACGCAGCTCCACGGCGCTCACAGTGCCCTGCTTGTGCTGGGGAGTTTTCGTTCCTGTGCATCACGGAGGAGCGGCGTCGGTAATGTGCGTTGTGTTATTTTGTTTTTAGTTTCGCTCCACTGGGGATTGTTTCTGTTTTATTGTTTTCCATAGTGGTAGTAGAAGAAGTTATTTGCGTCACCAGCCAGGCCCCAGGCCCCTGCGGCAACAGCCCATCTTACCTTTTTCCACCAGAAGCTCAGTGAACAGTTGAACTTCTGGAAGGCCGTGCAGGGCGAACGCTTTCCCACAAGCATAACCGTAGTGTCGTGGCTGCTGCCCGTAGAAGACGCTGTCATTTTCTTTTCCAGGTGACGACTGGAGCCCTTCAGTATATGCCCTAGTAGATTTAACACATGGCAAAAGGTTGGTAATAAAAGTTTGACCCAATGTCTTGATAAGCTGATAAAATGCCCTCAGGTGGGCTAATTGGCTATCAAATTCACTCCCCACGCGACCCAGTGAGACTCAGGACGGTGTGAGTTTGGGTGTCAATTCGTGTCCGCGTCCCTGCTCTGCCGTAGACCTAAACTTTTCTCATCTATAACATGACAGAAATAATAGCATCTATCCATAGGGTTGTTGTTAAGGTTATATGAGTTGCCCCATGTAAGTCCTTTGAAACAGACCCTGGCACGTAGCAGGTGCTCAGTACGTGGTAGTGATGGACGTGATGGTGGTGGTGGTTAGCATTCGAACTGAATCGTACTCGGATGCTTTTCCTTCGTATCACTGCTCACTAGCTGGCGTTGCGTTTTTATTTGTTCATTGCATCTTCCTAGCTGGAATGCAAGCCCCACGAGGGGGGATGGCTTTGTCTGCTCATTGCCATGTCTTAAGAACAGATTTGGCATATAGTTGGCACTCAGTGAAGATTTGTCAAGTGGATGAGGTGGGGAGGGAGGGAAGGAGGCCGGCACTGCTCCTGCCTCAGGTGAAAAGTATCTGGGTGCGTGCCTTCACTGGCCCACTCGTGGAGGCAGGCACAGCTCCTTAGCTTCTCCTCCCACCTCCCCACCTCCACCCGCACTGTTGGAACTTAAAACAATATTTTTTTAAAGCTTTGGTGAGGGAATCGAGAGATTCCATTCTTTTTTTTTAAGATTTTATTTATTTATTTTTAGAGAGGGAAGGGAGGGAGAAAGAGAGAGAAACATCAATGTGCAGTTGCTGGGAGCCGTGGCCTGCAACCCAGGCATGTGCCCTGACTGGGAATTGAACCTGAGATGCTTTATTTCGCAGCCCAAGCTCAATCCACTGAGCTATGCCAGCCAGGGCAAAAAAAATTTTTTTAATTGTATTTTTTTTTTTTTTTGCATTACCATTTAGTCTTAGCGTCTTTACTGTGGTCTCCTTGGCAGGTCTGCGTGAGCATTCGGTGAATAACTGGATGGTTGACTAAGATTGACATGGTCTTAGATGTGTGGTGTCCAGAGCTGTTCCCGTGCGTGAGCCCCTCGGTGTAGTGACGTTATCTGCATTGTTCTGACGTAAAACCAGACAGTATAGGTGGATACCTGCAGAGAATGTAAAGTGAACAAACTTCTTTGGCCCTTACAAGCCTTGGCTGCAGCGAAAGTAAACGTTTGGATGGTCTTTAAATTTTTTACAGTTTCTGCATTTTTACTTCTCCCAATAGTTCATTTAAAATTCTTGTGTTTTAAAGGTGAGTAGATTTGACACAGTGACGTTTATTTGAGTTGCATTATATATGCGGTCAGAGCAATGAATTCGTTCTGTTTATATCAGAGAACATTCCAGCAGTCGTAAAGCCACATGTGTGCGCGAGTGCACTCTCGAACCACATCCAGTGGCAAGTTATTATGGGGACTGACAGACTGTCATCCTTTTGATGGCTTGAGCCGTATATCTCCGGAGCAGCAATGGGGCTCTTATGCAGAAAGTATCATATGTTCCCAGCCAATTTACAGGGAAACAGCAATAACATTTTATCATGGTTGAGAGCCCAGTAGCTGCTTCCTATTAAACTTGCCCTTTCGGATACCTGTCTTGGATTAATTTGTTGATTTCAGATGGAAACTCAGTCTTCTCCAGTGAAGCATGACGTTCTAGGATAGACTCTCTGAATGACAATTACTGTGTATTCTAGCTGCTTTCAGACCATTACAAGCCTCGGGCAGAGTGGAAGACAGAGGACTTCAGTAACTGATTTTAATACCATGTCTAATTTTAACTGTCAGTTATGTACGTGCCAGTGAAAGAATCCTCAGAAAGATGAAATGCAAAACACTTCTAACTTGCTCCTTTTAATGATCCACTTTGCTGCAGCGTGGAGAGCGGAGGCAGAGCAGAGAAGGAGGAGCCTTCTTGTAAAGGGAATGGGCTTGGTGGGAGGCATCAGACTGAAAAGTGAGCACATAGCAACTGCCACCTCATTTTTTTCCTGTGCCCCTCAGGAAGCTTCTGAATAGTCATGTGTTTACCAAAAAGGATTCCAGAAGTTAGTGCCGGTATTTTTCCTTGAACATTGGAGAAAAATGGAGTTTAGGGGTTTACAAAGGATAATAAGCTTTGCTCACCATTTTGGCATTACAGACAGGGTGTGAATGTCTTTAGTGATAAAGGCGGTTGTGAGGTGCTGTTAAGTATAACCTGGTGGGTTATAAAGAGGAGAATAACTCAGCGGCTTGAAATATGATAAACCATTTTAAAAGAAACTAAATTAGGAAGCCCCTAAATTGTATTTCAAATGAAAGGAAAGGCATCATTTTCAGATCTTTAAAAATATTCCCTGCTCATGGAACACATTAGACATACAGATTCTTCAACATTTGTGCTTAGAGGACATATTTGCAACTATAGCAAATTATCTAAGTGTTAATTTGTGATTTTACTTCTCTGAGTTCTTCCCTAAACACATTGGCTTTTTCTTTTCCTAAGTCATCTGCTACAACAGCATATGGATTGCCTGATTGTATTTAACAGGGGAAAGAAAGTATCAGTAGCAACTATACAAGTAACAAATTTGGATCTTTATGAAAGAATGAGTGAAACTGCTGGGATTTTCCCCAGCAGTCTACGGTTGAACAGGTTGAACAGAGCGTGTGCTAGCCAGTCTAGAGTGGGACTTTTATGTCTCTTATGCTCCTTAGGAAAAAGCCTCACCGTAACATGATCCACCATGTGAACTCATGTACACGGCATGCCAAATGGTATTACAGAACAGTTACGTTACACAGTAAGTCCACACATTCCCTGGCTGTCAGCCCGAGGCCCCTGTCCTAACATTGGAAAAGTGTTCACTGGTCTTGATACTCAGATTTGAAGTCAGCATGCATAGATTTGGAACAAATAAACAAGAACTTAAACATGCCAAAAGGTACAGTTGGTGTAACATCCATACGTATCTCTTTTCAAGCTTTTTTTTTTCTTTAAATTCTGGAAGAGATTGGTTTTAAGAAAAAGCAGATTTTATTTGAATCTTGATTTAGTGACACTTAGCAAAACTGTGCTTCCCCAACTGCATTAAGAGACCGAGAATCAAAGTCATACAGCATTTTGATTCTTTTTTTTTTCTCCCTGGGTCCACATCGAACAGCCACTTACGCCATCAGCTCAGTGATAGAACAAATGATGTTTCCGCTTGGGCAAGCTTTGTTTTATCAGGATCAGTAACCTTAGCAGCAGCTGACCCAGAACTGTGGGGCACGTCTTGGAGCAGGTAGCGTGTGTCACCACTTGGTGCAGACTCGCTTCATAAGCAGGATTCTCTGGTGAAGCTCTAATGAACAAGGAAAAGTTTTCCGCAAGAAATGTCTTCTCCTATGATGAGAACTTCTCCTGAGCTCGTTGCCCTGCTTGCGTGTGGCTCCTCCCTTGCACTGATTCTCAGAAAAGCTGGAAGAATAAACAGAAAGGAATGCGTGTCCACACAGACTCGCACGGGGCGTAGTTTATCTGCCAGTCTTCCTTTCTGAGATACATCATCTGTGAAAAAAGAAGGTAGAATTTAGGTTTGGAAAAAGAATGAGTTTAAGGTTCTGTGTGACCCGTAAATGCATAGTGTTCAACAGAGGACGTTTGTTTTTCCGCAGAAAACCCACATGTGATTCACCAACAACACGTTTGGGTGATTGTGTGTTATTTCTTCAAAGTAGGACAGTGCAGAAGGTTTTCTTTCATTGCACACTGTCAGAACGGTTTAATCACTAGCTTTTAATACCTTATAATTTAAGATTGGATTTTTCACTGTCATCAATCTGCTTTGATTTTCGAAGACATGTAATAAATGGAGAGAGAAGACAGAGCGTCGCACTCATAGATAAGTCACGCATGACTCGCACATTTTGACATTTAACACTTCTTTTCTTTGACCTTTGACAGGCTAGGGCTTGACCCAAAACTGCTGGCTAAAATCCTAAATATGAGCTCAGGACGGTGTTGGTCAAGTGACACTTACAATCCTGTCCCCGGGGTGATGGATGGCGTCCCCTCGGCTAACAACTATCAGGGCGGCTTCGGAACAACACTCATGGCCAAGGTACGGCAAATGCGGAGGCTGCCGGCGGCTGGGGTGTTTCATGGTCTGATTCTCCTTCCTTCCCCCTCCCCTCCCCTCCCCCCCCCCCGCCTTTAACAAAGCGTATAGACATGGAAGGCAAAATCCTAGGAGGCACAGTACTGAAATAATGAATCACTTACTCGCTGGAAATGAGTTAAAACCTAGATAAAAATCCTACTTGTATTCATTTTTGTTCCTGACTTTTCAAATGAGAAGAATGGGCTGGGATTTTTCTTTTGTGTTTGCGTTTGTTTATACTCTGAGCCAGTAAAATTTCGTTCTCCATCATGAGTTGACGTTACTTTACCAGGCCCTTTGAAGGGAAGCGGCAGGAATTTTCCGACGGTTGGTAATACCTTGGCGTGGGGTACGGACACCACAGAGGGAGAGGGGCCCTTACTCACGATGCTGGGTTTCTAGGGTCATCGTTCTGGTCATTTGAAAAGCAAGCTTGGCCTCTTCTCACTTGTGATCGCAGCTTCAGGAGACACCGTATGGGTGCACGACCTTCGGGTTTCTGCATAGAGCTTCTACCCACCTCCCCCGCTGACATTTTTCCCGGATTACGAGTAACAGTGCCCCCCACCCCACTGGATCTATACTTGCTCCTTTATGTCCCGCTGCTCCTCACGACCCCTTGAGTCCTCCATTCCCTCCTCTGCCACGACCGGTACCTCGGCCGAGCCTCCCCCTGTCTGCAGCACATCCGCTCCTGCCTGGCCCCCTGCCTTTCATCCTCGTCTTCTCTTGTTCATTTTCTGTCTCAGGGAAACGTGAGCTTCCTGACACGTAAAAACCTGATGATGCTGTTCTTTCCTATTTTGTTGCTTTGATGGTTTCCAGCTACTTATGGACGACAGCCCCGCTCTGCAGGCGGTCTTCCTGGGCCCTCCGTGATGTGGTCTCTGCTGGTCTCACCGGCTTTGCTTCGACCCCCTCTCTGCTTCTCTGCTCCCTCCTCGGGCCCTCCCTCACTGCGCCTCTGACCGCCCAGCCTTCCTCGCCCTCCGCCCCACTCCCGGCACTGCACCCGGCACGGTAGATGCCTAGTGGGTGAAGCAGTGTGTGCTGCCTCTCACTTCGTTTCTGTGTCTCTTGTTTTACAGTGTCATTTCTTCTCATGGTTCATCACAGAAAGTATTTGTAGGTCAGTCTGGCCCTTGTGCTTAGGTTTGCGTGTCCTTCTTTAATAATTGTGCTGCGTGGCTGTGGCTGGAAACAGAAAGTGGCTTCTCGGGCACCTCAGTCTCATCAGCACTGCAGGACAATTCGTTAGGCCCAGGGGCGAATGAAGGAGGTGTGTTTATGCCCACCTTCCTTTCTGTGTCTGTATGAAGTGGGTGGTGACCTGTTAGCCTATTTGTTTCCTAACATACTGCTCAGGGCTCCAGCGGAGGAGACAGCTAACAAGTGAAGTGAATTGAGGGGTAGGAGGCCTCTAACCAAAGGGCGTGGATTTGTGCGGCCTCCCATCCTTCCCCAGTGCTGGCTTTGTGTGGGCCCTATTCTCCCGGGCTGCCTTCTGCCCCGCTGCCTTAGCTGCATTTCTCCAGGGCCCCCGCCCAGGAGGAATCTGCTGTGATCTTCAGGATAATAAAAGGTAGCTTTCTGCCCTGGCTGGTGTGGCTCAGTGGATTGAGCGCCGGACTTCAAAGCAGAGGGTTGCTGGTTCAATTCCCAGTCAGGGCACATGCCCGGGTTGTGGGCCGGGTTCCCAGTGTGGGGAGTGCAAGAGGCAACCATCTCTCCCTCTCTTTCTCCCTCCCTTCCCCTCTGTCTAAAAAGAAATAAAAAAAACCTTTAAAAAAAGATAGCTTTTTCTACTAGTATCATAGACAGTACCATAGTAAAACACATGGATACTACTTTCTGTTTTACTCTTATTTCCTCTGTGAAATGCAATTGTCATGTAACTTACAAAGAGGAACCCTTCTTAATGTTGCTTAGGATGAGAGGACTTAGAAAGAAACTTAAAAAAAAACCCTTCACCACCTCAGAGAGCTGTCAGCAAGGACTCAGCCTAGCCAGTCAGAGCTGCATAGACAAATCGATGGAGATGAAAGAAACCCCTATCAGTGCCGCAGTGATGAAAGCAGTTACACCTTCCTGTGCAGATCCCGGCTTTACTTTACGGAGATGTCGTGCTTATCTACCATTCAGTGTCCTTGTGCCGGGGGGGTGATGCTAGCGGGCCATAGAAGTAGGGGCTTGGACATTTATTTCTAGGTCTTAACATCATAAAATTCTAATGCGTTGTATGTACGTAGTTGGAACATAGTCAGTACAGAAACTAGATCATTCTCCCGGGCTCCCCAGCCTAGAGGTCTGTTTCTCATGGGCACTCAGAGACAACTTTTGGGAAACCATGACGACCCCTGGTACCTCCCCCAACACACCCGTTTCCCTGATGGGCAGGATTGAGAGGCCACCTTTCCACCCTCAGAATGTTTGTCCTTTCAGGTAGCAGCTGCCAAAGCATTTCCGTTTCCCTTTTTTGATTTTATGAACTCTTATTCAGGGGAATAACTTAACTTGCGTCTTTGAAAAACCCTTACCAGGTTTTTTCCCCCCAATGGGGTTGTCTTCTCGATGTGTTGTTTTTCTGAGTTCTTATATTCTAGTTGTGTTACTGGGTTGAAAATTAAGGGCTATCTTTCCATGTCTGTTTGTCTCAGTCCTTTAAAAGCATCTCAGCACTGAAGAATCTCGATAGGAGAGGCTTGTCTGCTCATCGGGGCGTGAGCCACCACAGAGCCATGCACACCTGTTCGGTGTGTGGGTGATCATTAAACTCGTTTTTTAGTCGAAGCTATAGAGGACTTTAAGGTTAAGTAGATTTTCCAAATTTATGTGTTTACATGTGAAAATTATGCAAATAAACACAAAATAATATTTGTGCCTATGGCATCATACATATTTACGAAGCTAGAGATTTAATTCATTCTTTAACCTTTGCTTGTTTTTATTTTGAATCATTTTCTCTCTTGAGTAGATGGTATCAATAATTGCCCCATTATCAAGGATGTTTTTCAAAGAGTAGAAATAGTTCTCATCTTGCTGCTTGTCTCCCCCTTTCTTTGCCTGTTGACTTTGCCCTGAGTGAGGGAAGTGAGTGTGGCAATGATAAGGAGAAAAATCCAGTTGGTTTTGCTACTTGTTTGCAGCTCTTATCATCACAAATGAATGAAATAAGGGGAATCTTGTTTCAATTACCTGTACCTCCGTTGTCTTCATGTACCCCAGATAATTCAAGTGTTGGACAAGATTTCATTTTTATGGTCATAGGTATCCACTAGCTACAGTTTAACAATGAAAGATTTACAATGTTAACTTTGTCTGTTTTCTTTTTTTTTTTTTTTTAGAGAGGGAAGGGAGGGAGATAGAGAGAGGGAAACATCAATGTGCGGTTGCTGGAGGTCATGGCCTGCAACCCAGGCATGTACCCTGACTGGGAATCAAACCTGCGACACTTTGGTTCACAGCCTGAGCTCAATCCACTGAGCTACGCCAGCCAGGGCACCTTTGTCTATTTTCGAATAGCCGTAAGTTTTCTGAAACCTTCAGACTGAAGCATTAGGTCTATGAGATACAACAGGGTCATTGTGAAGACAATCATTTCACTGCACCTAAAACCCAGACAGGAACGCTTCCGTGTTCCTCCTCTGCCCGTCCCGGCTCACGCACTCCCCCCCGCCCCCGGCCCCCTTTGCTCGCTCTAACTCAGCCTCGTTGGCCTTCACGTTACTTGTTTGACTGTCCACGCCGTGTCCCGCTGCAGGGCCCTTACCCTGCCGTCCTGTCTGCCTGAAACGCTTTTTCCCCAGTTCTCCAGAGAGCTCTGCCTCCCTAGCATTCGGGCCTGAGGTCCAGGGTCTTCGGCTCTGGAGGTCTTCCCCACATTCCATGCATCAGAACTCTCTCTTTTCCACCCCACCACCCCCTTACCGTCCACCACATTCTGACCCCTCGCTCCGCTTTATTTTTCTTCCCAGCACGTGTCATTGGGCGGAATTTTAGTATCTGTCTTGTTCTCCATCCCGCTGGGCAGTCAGATCCATGAGCAGAGTGACCTGGTATCACCAGCACTCAGCACTGTGCCCCACACATAGGAGTTCCTGAATGTTTGTTGAATAAGAGATCGAATGGGTAGCTAATGATTCCAAAATGGGGTTTGGTTTGGGCTTGCAGGCTTCCGCAGCGTTGGAAAGGCATTCGCCTGTGTGATCTCACCTTCAGGGTAACCCTCGTGCGAAGTTTGGTGGAGGGGGGAGGAGTGGGGAGGACACTCGGAAATCAAAGTTTCGGTCTGGAGCAGTAACCATATGAAAGCACGTATAAAATGTATAATTGCCACAGAGCTTGTAAGTATCTTCTCCTTTCCAGACTTCATTTCTCCTCCTCTGACACCAAAGCGTTAGGAGCCACAGTTCCACGGGGAGCCCTGCCTGCCAGTCTCACTGTGTTCTCCCGCCCTTGTCTGACTTAGGATCTGGGGTTGGCCCAAGACTCGGCCACCAGCACGAAGAGCCCGATCCTGCTGGGCAGCCAAGCCCACCAGATCTACAGGATGATGTGCGCAAAGGGCTACTCGAAGAAGGACTTCTCGTCCGTGTTCCAGTATCTGCGAGAGGAGGAGACCTTCTGAGCCGGCCCCGGGGCCGCCGACACCGCGGAAAGGAGACCCGGCTCTGCCCCGGACCTTCCCGGCAGCTCGCCGCACACACAGGGCGATGAGTTGAATCGAAGGTCACCTGCCTGCGTTTGGGTCACAGTGAAATGGGTTTTCCACCCGTTTTCTACTGCTTAGTCTTTTTATCTATGTAGCAAACATGCGGTATCTGATTTTTTTCCTTCTGTTAGCCCCCAAGGGTCTCTGTTAAATGGCTGATTGACCTTTTTCAAAAGTTTGATCCTTGCGCGTCTTCACCTCGATCGTTGACTACTTCAATCAGGATGGTGTTCACTCCAGTTTACACATAAAACCAAAAGTTTTTCGACAGCACGCAACCGATCTTAAAGGGGGAAAAAAAAAAGAAATTGGTGTGAGGAAAGGAGTCAGAGAATGGGGACATATGGTGAATAGCTACCGGGGTCAGGACGTGCGCCCTGTTGTGACCGAGTGGCGGTGTCCTCGCGCCGCTGAGGCCGCTGAGCTGGTTCCCGGGGGAGCGCTAGAGCCGGAGAACTCCTTGCCGTGTGCTTTGTAATTCGGACTCCACTGCAGTATCTTAGTCTGTCCCGCTTGTAACAATTCCCGGTACTCAGCAAAACTTGTTTTTTATATTTTTCCTCCCTTGTACATTCTTCTTACCTATTTTTGACTTCAAGAGAAGGACATCTTTAGACCTGTTTCAGAGCCACTATAAATGATAATTGCTTTAGATAATTATTATAGGATTCTAAATAGAACTATATTATTTTGAATTCAAATAAATTTCTATGCTGCTAACAACCTTTCTGGAGTGTGTGTGTCTTCCCAGCCAGTCAGCAAACAGTCGAACGCTGTGAAAAATGGGCGTTACTGACGAATCCAGTTAAACAAGGGCGGCGGCTTGACGGAGGAGGCAAGGAGTGGCCGGACTCCGGACGTCAGAGGGCCGCTAGCTGAGGAGGGGATGGCAGGGGTCAAGGATGGCTCCAAGGCTGGTGGGCAAAGTGGAAGAAAGGAATTGCCACTTACTCCCTGGGCGAGGTCGTGAGACATTTGGGGAGGGGAACGAACCAGGAGTTTATTTGAGATGCCTAGTGGCCATCTGCATCGGGGAAAGGGGGCCCAATTCCAAGCCGTGTGTTACTGTGACTTCTAGTGGTTGAGAGGACAGGCAGAACCAGCAAAGGGTGCTGAGGAGGAGGGACCAGTAAGGGGGGTGGGAAATGGGAGTGGTGTCTTGGAAGCCATAGGAAGACAGCGTTTTAAGGAGAGAATGAGCATTGATTGGTATCAGAGCCACGGATAAAGTGAGTAATAGAAGGGCTGAAAATGAATCGTTTGGGGATTTGGCCACATAAATCATCGGCGACCCTGACCAGGATAGGGAGTGCTGGAAGTGAGACTGAGAATGAGAGCAGGGGAGGAGAGGAACTGGAAGTGATGCGTAGGAACACGTCTCCAGGAGTTTTGCTGTAAAAGGAAACAGATAAATGGAATACACACCGGCAGGGAACATGGGGTCCAGGGAGGTTTCGTTTATGTTTTTTTTAAAGATTTTATTTATTTATTTTTAGAGAGGGAAGGGAGGGAGAAAGAGAGAGAGAAACATCAATGTGTGGTTGCTGGGGGCCATGGCCTGCAACCCAGGCATGTGCCCTGACTGGGAATCGAACCTGCGATGCCTGGTTCGCAGCCCAAGCTCAATCCACTGAGCTACACCAGCCAGGGCCATTTATGTTCTTAAGATGAGAGATACGATGGGGTTATGTTGATGGAAGTGGAACGATCAAATACAGAGGGAAAAAATAAATATGCGGGAATGAGGTAGGACGCCTGCTAAGTGATTGATTTCTCTGAGTAGCTGAGCGAGGAAGAGTGTAGATGTGGATGAGCCTCTGAAAAGTAACCATCAGCACAAACAGATCATGTGCCAAACTGCCAGTAGCAGCGGTGAAGTTAATTATGCAGTTTTCAACATAGGATAATAAATATTAATGCCGGAAAGGACTTTACTGACCTCTAAGCATGGCCCGTTTAAGTCACCCTCTGACCTTTAGTTTTCTCATCTGCAGAGTTGTCAGGAACGATGTAGCCTAATGTTAAGTGCTTGCTTGGAAACTCGAAACAAAAAAAAGATGAGTGAAGGGCAGTCACAAGTGTCGTGGAGCATGTGGAGAGGTTTAAATCCTCATGCAGTGCTGCCAGGGAATAGAGAACGGTTTGGCCACTTGGAAAAAGGGTTTGGCAGTTCCTCAGAGGGGTAAGCATGGAGTCACCACATGACCCAGCAATCCCACTCCTAGCTCTCCACTCAGGAAAAATGAAAACACATGTCTGTGCCAAAGCTTGTACACGAGTGTTCATAGCAGCATGATTCGTAATAGCCAAACAGTGGAAACAGTCCAGATGCCCTGTGCCCGATGACGACGTAAGCAGACTGGGAGGTCCGTACGGTGGGAGACTGGCCGCCAGAGGAACGAGATACTGGCGTGTGCTACAGTGTGGATGGACCTTGAGAACACTGTGCCAAGTGAAAGAAGCCGGACACACAAGGCCACGTGCCGTGTGATTCAGCATGAAATGTCAGGCATGGGCAGGTCCGTGGAGACAGAGTAGATGGGTGGTTTCCAGGGCCCAGGGCAGTAGGGGGTGTGGGCAGTGAGTGCTCATAGGTGTGGAGTTTCTTTTTGGGGTGACGAAAGTGGTCTGCAATGTGGTAACGGTTGCACAACTTTGTATTAAGGGCCACTGAACTGCACACTGTAAAAGGGTGAATTTTGTGGTGTGTGAATTACATCTCTGAAAAATAAGGAACAAAAACCATGAGATAAGATCTCCCTCTCTTGAATGGTTCTCAACTGGGACAGTTTTGTTCCGGGGGGACCTCAGACAATGGAGACATTTTTGGTTGCTAGACTGGGGGTCAGGGATGCTATTGGCATATAGCGGTTAGAGGGCATTAGTGCTGCTGAATGTTGTACAGTGCACAGGCTGGCTTCCCCAAGAATGACCTGCCCCCAGTGTCCATAAGGCAGAGTCTGAGAAGCCCTGCTCAGGTGTAGGTTCCACAGGTACCTCCAACGTCCCATCTCAAACCTGAGCTTCCTCTCCTCCACCCATTCTCCACGGCGAATTCTAAACCTCGACTCCAGGTCCTCATCCGTTCTTGCACAGGATACTTCCATCTCCTGCGATTGCTTCTCCTCTTTTCTAAGTGCTTTATTTACTGAGGTATAGTTTACATACAGTAAACTGTGCTCATGTTTAATGTACAATTCAGTGACTTTTCGTGAGCTTACAGAGTTGTACAGTCCTCACTGCAATGCAGTTCTAGAGCATTTCTGCCACCTCCCTTCACCCCGACAAATCTCCTTTGCCCATTTACACTCACTCCCAGTCTTTCTCTCTCCCCAACCCTGCAGCCGTGGGCACCCATTAATCTTGTCTCTCTAGATTCACGGCTGCTTCTTAGCCACCGATGTGGTTCTTCCCAATTCATCCTTCACACCACTGTGAGAGGTCTTGCTAAGACTGAAATCCAACCCAGTCATTTCTCTGCAAAAAATCTCAGCCTCGGATGCAGTCAGAGCTCCTCAGCATGTCCGGGCCCCGGGTGCTCTGGCTACTGTTTTACTGCACCAGCCCTTGGCATTTCCCAAGCGTGCCTTGCTTCTCCCACCTCAGTACCTTTGCACGTGCCCCTTCCTTCACCTGAAATGCCCTCCTCCTCTCCCGGCTGGCCTGCTCAGGCCTGCTGACATCTCCAAAGCTGAGTCGTTTCCCGTGTCCATAGCTTTGTCTCTTGTACCATAGCCCTTAGCCTCTTACATTACATTTGCTAGTTCGTCCATCTGCCTTCCACACGAGGCTGCGAGCTCTTTGACAGCCCACGGCATTAAGCAAAAGCTCAGTCAGTGTGTGAATGAGTGAGTGATTGGAAGCTAGGACCTGGGATTTGTGTTAGGGGAACTACTGATTGCGTAAACTTGTGTCTTAAAGATTCTTCCTCGGCAGATGAAGTTTATTTTACTGTGAGTTGTAAGTGATGCTGTGTGTTATATATAGCTGCCCAAGAAGTCTGGCACAATGTGGGTGTTGTACAAAGTTTTCTTAGTTAAAGGGTTAGCTTATGCCGTTTGAAGAAACTTACAGGGAGACACGGGCATGTTTGGTAGCAAGTTTTTGCCTCTTTTTTTATGTGCTTTAAAACATCAACTTGTGTGCAGATAAGCATGCACAGATTCCCCTTTATGGGCACGGCAGTTCCAAATGCTACTTAGACCTCGAGGCACACAGTGAATCCCATAATAACACAGGTTTGATTTACTCAGGGGGTCCTGTGAAGAGTTAGGTGTTCGAGAAACTCCTTTGCTGTCCTGTTGATCCGATATCATGATAACAAAGCTTATGCCCAGCCCCAGCTGAGTCCAAATTTAGGCAAACCCCTTGCTGGACGGGGCCTGTTCCTTGGCCATTTTTCTCATTGTGTGGATTTTGATCTTAGAGTTTACGCTCAGCAATCAGAAATGTGTGTGATCTGTCCACGTCCGATGGGGAGTGGGGGAGAAAGGCAGGTCTGAGCAGAGGACGGGGCCACGTTATCCACAAATTCTACCCGGGCTGCTGCCAGAACCCTACTGCTGCTCGGGAAAACAGCCCACGTTCCTACCAGCCTCCGCTGCAGTAGCTGTACCCCTGAGCATTCCCCAGTGGCCAGCCAATGGGAAGTCGTCTGCCCGAGTGGGGTTTTTAGCCATCTTCCAGTTCAGTGGAAGGCGGAGCTGAAGGACACCGTAGGGATTTGTAACACGCCATGCAAGGCACCAGGTCCATAAACCGGCATGTCCATCGTGGTGATGCGCACATGGAATCATCTCTCACTGGTGGCAGAGAGATCGAAGATGACCTTTTACTATTTAATTGTTTTCATCATTTCATGATTCAAGAAGACCTAAAAGGGACGCAGGCTTCTTCATGCAGACCAGAATTGGAGTCTTTCGGAACGCTGACAGGAAAATACAGCAAAGCAGAAGCCCTCTGCAACCAGCCTGCAGGGAGGGCATTCGAGCGTCATAGGTGCCAGCCCCGCCGCTGGCCCAGAGACCGGGGACCTGCTGCGTTCTCGTCCTCGGGCGGCGCTCACCCGGGCGGCGGTCTCACGGACCCCTTTCCTCTTCCACACGAGGCCGTTGCGCGGATCTCCATGGCTGGCTTTAGCTGTAAAACTCTGATTCCTGTGAGGCAAGGGTTTGAGAAAATGTATAGCGTGTGCTTCTGACAGTTTTTGGACTCTCTCTGGTTAGGACTTATTTATTGCTCGTACAGCTGTCTCATTTATTAGGGGTTCTTTTTTTTATAGCCGGGAATAGATTCAGAGATCAATACACTTTTATTAATGATAGTCCGTCATGCCGGGTAAAGAGATGGCAAGAGAGCTCGTCCAGAATGAGCCACTTGAATAAACCTGACCCACGGGCTTGGCTCGGGGCTGCCTGTTGGCGGGCCTCGCTGGAAAGTAATGGCATTGGCAGAGCGAGCGATGATGGAAACCTTCCTCACAGCCAGACTCGTAACATCAAAGGGCAGGTCTGGGGTGTGTTTCTCAGCCTTGGCTGTATATGCAAATCCTATGACTTTTTGCATGGAGCATTTTATCTTCAAAAGGACAAAACCTGGCATTTGCCGTCGTCATTAAAAATGATACATGCCTAAAGTGCTTTGGAGTTGGGATTGTGGTCCAGGAGAACAAATATTGTTTCAATACCAAACAGCATCTTAGCCTAGACCACTTCCCATTGATG